GGTTCCGGAACCCACTGGGTTCGTTGATGAATAAGGCCACTGGTGATTTTTTTTTTGATCATTCAGCTTTCTGATTTGATAGAAGAGTCTTGCGAAGGTATGTCGAAGGACACTTGAGGATTATGCTGTACTACCTCGTTATAGCTTTTTCTACAGTCTATTTGAATCGCAGTGTCCTGCGCAACGTTCGCGGCGTTCGGCTGAGCAGCAGTCGGCATCATCGATTGGAACAGCCGCAGGACACCGCAATTGAAATGGACTGTGGTCCAGCTAGTGCATACAAAGTTCGCCCTTCTCTCATCTGCAACATACTTTCCCCCATCAAATTATTAATCAGCCGTATTAAAAGAGAACATCGTTTCAGCAAGGGCAAAGTAGGTTACACAAATATCGTCGCATATACGAGTAGTATATTTTTCTTTAGATTTTGTGGTTTTAGTGCCGTCTCCCAATGAGCCAAAGGTGAATGTATGGCTGGTTACTGATTTCAGCATTACAATCTGCTTGATCTAGAAAGTTTTTCATTACATTGCAAACTTCCTAAAATTCTTATCGACTCAAGTGCATTTTTACCACAATTTCGTTTTTTACAGTAACATTAATCTTTTTTGATGATGAAGGAAAGGACTTGAGCACTGAAATTCAGAGGTTTAGTGTGTTCAGTTGCATAGTTTGAAGCTTCATTACATGCAAATCGAAAAAAGAGAAAATTCGCTGCTTCGAATCCTAGTTTCTTCAGACCAAAGGCGCGCATTCTCCTTTGCAAATAGCTCCTTGACGATCTTTCTGCACTGGCTTCAAATCATCACCGACTTTGTAGGTAACACGTCCGATACCGTCAAGGGTTACCTGAATAGGTGTAATTATTTTCAAAGCATATGGATAGATTTCTGGTTCATAGTAGGACCAAAGGTTAACTACTTCAACACTAACAATGAAAAAATTTCTCCGAACATTTTCAAATCCCGCTCGCAAGTTATTGTTAGGAAACCCGAAAGAAGTCTTTAGCCAAACTGATTTCATGGGA